CTATTGTTTTTTCATAAGTATTGTTACGTTGTAACCAAACGCTGTTCGTGTTCTTTGTCTAATCAGGATGCCACAAAGATCCCCCGGTGATTTCGAAGGGATGCAGCTAAAGTTATCGCTTTATTATACGTGGCACTAAACAGAAGGATTACAATCAGCCGGACTTGCCTTCAACCTCCCCGTCAGAAGAATCCTTGGCGCCGTGGATGTCACTCTTGTGTGTCCAGCCTGGACTACATCGGCTTTTAGGTCGCTGACGCCAGGCTCTCCTGACATCGTCTTGCAGGATCATCCACACGGCCGGAGACAACTCCCATGTCTTCTACTTGCCGCAGATATGAACCAGACTGCCCGTTGTCTTCCCCTCACGCTGGAATGCTGTTTTTGGCGCTTCACACATGGCAACTGGAGTAAACCCTTCTTTCCCCAACTTTACTTTGGAATCTTGGCCTTGTCATCCATTTTACAATATGTAAAGGCACACTTAAAGGAGAGAAGCAGACAAATTTGAAGATCCAGCTAAACAATTTTACGTGTATAAAAAAAGGAACAACAAACTTTGAGAAAAAAATAGGACAGATTTGAAGAGAAATAGTTTCACAATTTCATTTTATAAACAAGGAAAAGTAGGGAGGAAGACAATTTCAAGAAAATATCAAAATAAATTTTATTTTAAAAAGTGAAGAACACATTCAAAGTGAGAAAAGATTTTCCAAAATCACTTTATTCGGTACCGATCAACAAGAGCAACCTAGTTTATGATATTTGCAACATTGAATAATATGTGAAGGTTATTCACACATGACTGTCGGGAATCAAGGGTGTTACCCACTCGTCCACCGCCTCTTTAGATTAGATTTGTGAATATTATTGATTGAGACCCGTGAATCGTATAGGAAATAATGTTAATATTCAATAATCTATATTTTAAGACAGATTTTTATTTATTTATTTATTACAAAACACACGCTATATCCTATGTGGATATTTGCATGTAAATGTTTAATCTATTTTATACATATAGTTTTTAAATATATATATATACAAATTATTTATAGTTTTAGAGAGAGAGAGTTATTCAAATTTACATTTTAGAACAATAAATTATACAATAAACAAAGATTATTTACATACATATTATCAACAGATTTGCTAATATATTTGAGAAAAAAAGGAAAACATTCAAAAGAAAGTATACACAAACAACACCTTTCAAAAAATGATTTTAATAAAAATTCATTTTTATATACAAACATATTTATATAAAGGGAGAGGACATACAAAGACAGAGATATATGCAAATTTTATTTCAATTGAAAATAGATCATTAGGATGATTTGAAAGTTATTTTGGAACTATCCGAAAACTGATGTCTGTAGCATTGTCTCTGAAGGAGAAGGCAAAATGAAGATGAAAATTAAGAAAAAAGAAAGACATCTCCTTATCTTGCAACTGAAAGTTGCTGATGACTTGTGCCATCTATCGGAATAAATATCAACTGTTAGATATGTTTAATTATTCCAGAATTGTCCAAATATCCATTGATTAATCAAGAATGAATATTTGGAAAATTATGGAATAATTAAAAATCAACGAACAATTGATATTTATTCAGGTAGATGGCGCAAGCCATCATCAACTTCCAGTTGCACGATATGGAAATGCCTTTCTTTTTTCTTAATTTATGCATCTTATCTCAGTATAATATCAGAAAGATGAAAATAGCATGCTGGTGGAGTGTATTGTGATAACGGGCGCCCAACGCTGTGGATTAAATGGGAATGGTGGCATTCAAGCGGCCGACTCTCACATTCTAGGAAAGTATATGGCCTGATATGCAGCTATGGCGTTTCTATGCATCACAACAACTATCTCTCTTGTTACCCGATCCTTGTATTTTCCGCCACCAGACGCTGGTAGACGCTTTAAGAACAGTTGCGTCCTTGCACTCTCCCCTTGTATTTCTCGTGAAAAGAGCGAGAAGTGCATATTTCGAAGACCTACGATTTAAATGATCAAAAAGGAATTCATTTTGAAGAGGAGGTGTTTTAGAGGCAGATACATATAATTTTATATTATACATAATATTTATTTAAATGATTAATTTCACTATTTTATGGTTCTTATACATTTATATAACTCCTTATGTAAAAAGAAACATATTTTAAAGACAGAATATATGATTCCTTTTTGAGACAGATCCATAAAATAATTTTATTGGGAACACATTTTAATTAGAAATTCGGAAAATTTCCGGGGACGAGATAACCAAATTTGATGATAAAAAAAATCCATTTAAAAAGAGAAGAAAAAATTATTCAAAGAAGGTGAAATAAAAAAATTATTGAAGGAAAAAGACACATTTGGGATGACGCCAAGTACACTGGAAGAACCAGGCTGGAAAGGAACACTTCTTTTTTAATTAACTTCTACTACATGCTCCGTGTGTTTTCCTCGTACCTCTGATACAGTACAAGCCGTAAAGCAAGATATTTTTTATCGTTCCTCAGAATGAATAGTGGGCGAGAAATATCAAATGGTATGCAAGGATTTTAAAGGCATTTTGATAACAGGTGTCGAGGATACTGTGAGGTCGAAAGAGACGCTAGGTCCACCTGATCTAACATTCGAGCTGCAGTGCGTGTAATGATTTCAAAGAGCGGCGTGGCTGTGTCAGCACCGTGTCCTTTTACATGATTTTCTCCTTTACCCGCTGCCGACATACTGTGGCTGAAAACCCCAAGAGCAGTTGCTTCGTTGTACATAATCCTCCGCCTTCAGACGCTGGTAGAAGCTTCAAGGAAAGTTGCGTCGTTTTTCACTCTCCTCTTCTAGTTCTTGTGAAGAGAGAAAGTATATTGGAGAGAGAAATAAGCATTTTTATATAGAATACTAGACGAATGACCCGGGCAACGCCCGGGTTTACACGATTAAATGTATTTTACATATGGAAGATGGACGTAGTTCCCGGAGGTCACCCGCGAGGCTTTTTTGGCACTTGGCACAGCTGTGTCACCAACGCCAGGACCGCGCGCGGTGGGAACTTGAACTGGCCAGCCGGCCGGCAGCCGGACGATTCCATTTTCTCGGAGGGGGGGGGGGCGGGGGCAGGGAAGTCACGTGCTCGCCGCCAGCCAATGGGCGCCCCCCGTCGTCAGACCGCCGCGCGTTCTAGAGGGCGCTGCTCGTGAGCTAAGTAGAATAATTTGAATATATAGTTTTAATAATTGATTTATATATTTTTTAAAATAGCCTATCGTCATCCCCGTTATTTTTTACCTATGTATGGAAATTTTGGTTTGATTTAGTGAACTACTGCGAATTTGTATACCGTGCATACAAACAGACCAACAGACCAACAAACATACAAACATTCATTTTTATATATATAGATATTGTTTAAAAACAAACACATTTTAAAGAGAGAGCTTGACACCAATTTATTGATATTAAAAACAAATCTAAAAAAAAGGAAGCCGAATTCAAAGACAGAGATTTACAACTTTTACGAACTCTGCACGTGAAGTAGGATTGACAAACATTTGAAGCGCAGATATATTTTTGATAATACAATGTATTATGGAATAATGGCGTGACAGTTACCCATACAAAACTATAGTTTTCTCCAAGTTACTCTCTTGATATTCATAGCGTGTTTTTTTAGACAACAGATTCATAAAGTAAGCCCAAAAGAGCAGTCATTTATTGCGCACATTCTACGTTGAAGACAGATATGGATAGTTCTTATTGTGAACAAAATATTTATTGACAAACGATTAAAAATCTATTAAAATGATGGAATATATTTGGCATGAGTCTGAGTGTCTTGGATGAGGTTACACGTGCTGAGGCAAATTAATGCCGCAGCATGGCGGATCAACGACGGAAAAATGAACAGGGCAAGCTGGTAGATGGAACTTCTTGAAGACAACGATGATCCCTAGAGATACTTTATGATGTGACGTTATAAACGGGGAAGAGATGATTTAGCATTTTACATGTTTTCCAAGTAGTGATGCGTAGGAACGGCGTGCTCGTCTCTTACAGGTCCATGGCTTTCTTGAGGCTCTATCTTGGTTCTTCTCTCATGTCTTCTTCTTTTACCAGACGCTTTCAGAAAGTACCAAGAGCTGCTTGTGAACATTCCATGAAGAACTGATATATAGAGAGGAACCATTTATAAGACAGAAGTGTACAACTTATATTGTAACGATCTCCAGTCCTGGATCTTCGGGACTGTCTTGGTGGAAGACGAACTGGCCATTCTCGCATCAGCCAAATCAAGGATTTATCGATACTTCGTGCAGGTCGGGCTGCGTGAGACCATCGAGGACCCCGTCATCGCCTGGAGGCGGAACCTATCGCGGTGAGGAAGAATACCATCCTTGTAAATAAGTCTTTCGATCTAATCTTTTCATCGTGTAAATATTGACTGAGTTGTCAATAAAAGTGCTTTAATTGTCAATTGTCAACTTGTAACAAAATGTAAATAGAATACATGACTCTTTTTAAAGACGTATGTACAATAATTCCATTAAGAATATAATTTTAGGTAAAAAGGAAGACACCTTTGAGAAAGGACAAAAGTACATTCATAAAATTTTATTAGCAACACATTTCAAAGAGAGATTATTCTTCAATATATAAATATTTTATTATGAAAAAAGAAATACCTTTCAAACACAGAGGTTTATAAATTAATTTTAAAAAGAAAACATTTTTATGTGAGAAGGAAGAAACATTTTAACGTGGGATAAAAGGTACACAAATGAGGTACTCAAATTTTATTGTGAGGAAAAGCAGCACTTTAAGATGTACTTAACGCCGATTGTGTTGAATGAAGTTGGGTTTGTGGGAAGAGCTGGGATGGTCTGTAATGAGCGCCCAACGCCGGAGATTATGTCCGTTGGGGATGGCGTACAGGAAAGAGGAAGCTCTAATCTTCGACACGCTGTGCGTGTACTTATGGCAAGTTACTTTGGGGCTGTTCCATTTATCAAGTGTTTTCTTTATGAAAACCCCGGTTTCCGTCCGCTTCCCAAAGTTAAGCAATGTCGGGCCTGGTCAGTACTTGGAAGGGTGACCACCTGGGAACACCGAAGGCTGTAGGCTAATCTTTTTTTTTTTTTTTTTTTTTTTTTGCGACGGTGGTATAATGGTCAGTATAGTAGCCTTCAAATCAATGGTGCGTTCTCCAAGCTAATCTCCTGGTACCTTTTCCTTATGTTTTCCGGTACAAGACGTTGGTCTAGAGTTCTTAGAGCAGTTGGGTCGTTGTGCTCACTCCCCCTTGTTAAGAGAGAAGAAAGAAACCTTTTGAAGACAGAGATTCACAACTTATATTGTGAAAAGAACAAATATCAAAGAGAGCTTATTACAACTTTTGCAAATTGAGGTGTGTAAATTTATTTTAACACGCTCAAAGACAGAGTTTACAACTTTTTAAGGAATACATATGAGATGATGCCAGATCAGGGCCAGACGGAGAGTGATAACCGCATCATGAATTTTGTAGGAGCAGTGATTGAGAGATGTAGAAAGATGTGGACACGCCGTTGGAGTGCCCTTGATAATGGATACGGAGGAATGGCTTGGCCGTGTTTCACTTTGCACGGCAGTTTTCTCTAAACTCTTCACCTGGTATCTAACCATTCCCTTCTACGACTAAATTCTAGCAGAGCGCTCTTAGCAGTTGCTTTGTTGTGCACAATCTTTGTAGGCATTGTGAAGAGATAGGAAGACACATTTGAAAAAAATCATATTTATTTAATTTTAAAAAGAGAAGTGTATATATAATGAACAATTTGGAGAGGGATGTGTATAATGTATATTATGTGTATAAAATGAAGATAAAAGATACAAAATCTTTTAAGAAATTCAATTTTAATAAAACGCATTTATTTAAAGGGAAGGAGCGAAGCATATTAAAAGACAGAGATATACAATTTTTGACGTGACAACGTCTTAAATTAGGTTGCGGCTGGGAGTCACTTATGAAAAAGTGTAACGCCCGGTAACGTTACGATGAGTCACCGAACGAGAGTGCTGCGCGCGCAGCGCTAGAGAATTAGGCGCATTGAATCGGCGCATGCTTGTCTCTGTCTTTGTCTTTCTCGAACGTTCTTGGCGTTGGAAAAACAAGAAAGCGTCATAATACAAGTTCACACGTGTGGTTAAAGTATCGTCAGCTGTGTCTGTAGTGAAAATGTGGAGTGCTTAGATTCGTCATTTACAACAACTACAACAATAAAGGTAAATAATTGTACACTGATATTTCATTATCGTAAACTATGATTGATTGATTAATTGTTAGATTGACACAAAAGTTGAGAAACTGAGTTTATAGGGTATGTCATACTATTGATAAATGTTGATAGTGTTAAGTAAATTATTAGTTTAAAATTAAATAATTAATTAATTATTATTTTTTACAAATTTTAAATAGTTTCAAATTTATTTAGCAAAAATTTGAACCTTCGATCTGAATAAATGTTTTGATTTTCGAATTGATTCTTTAAAATTACAAATATTAAGAAAAAGTGGCAGATATAAGAAAACTTTATTTAAACTGTGTTGAGCAAGAATTTTAACATCTAATTTAAGTAAATGTTTTAATTTTCAACTTCATCATTTACAATTACAAATTTAATTTAATTTCAAATTTATTTAGCAAAAATTTGAACCTTCGATCTGAATAAGTGTTTTGAATTTCAAATACCAACGCGACTGGTGGAGTGGCGATCTATCGTAAATTATCATCGACATCTACGGCGGAAGTGTTCCAAGTTGCGATTACAGACGTAACTCGTGTCATTAAAACCAAGGGTGACATGTGCATGACTGAAGTTACTTGCTTCGCCGCTAATACTAGCTTCAAGTTTATACTCGGTGCTGTATATATTCATCCAGGAGCTAGTATGCAGGATATTGGAATGTTACTATGGCAAGGACTCGGTCCGTACATTCACAACAGCCAGTACGTGCCACCGTTCGTGCAAGTTGATTCTAGTATACCGATTCTTCTGTGTGGTGATTTTAACAAAAACGTAAAGCCTGACAACTCGTTTCTTAATTTCATGAAAAATACGTATAATCTTGATTGCGTATCAAACGTTTCTAAGTCAACTACGTTAAAAGGAACAACTATCGACTTGACTTTCGCAAGACACATTACAGCAGAAACACTTCCTTTCATTTCATATTTCTCCTATCATCGTCCTATCCTCAACAAAATCACTCAAATAGGAATTAGTTAAGTTTAAGTTTACATGTACAATGTTTTAGTAAACAAAATATATTTCTATAGTTAAAATTTGTGCAATTCTTATTTTCATTCAATTCCTTGTTCCTATTGTGCAATTTAAATATATTCGTATCAATAAATATTCTACCGTTGTCACGTAAAATCTTCGCCCGTAAAACCGACTTTACAGGCAACCATTGTTTTTTATTGTAGGAAAATGAACACGTCAAGGACGACATAGGGTGCTTCTGAAGAGGTAGGACCAGCTGGGAAGAGCTATCAACAGCATGGTCTTAGAAGGAACAGCGACAAAGAGATGTAAAGGACATTCTGGCTGAGAGCACGTCGAACTCAGCACGTGAGTGGGATCGGCCAACATTTGAAGCGCAGCTCGAATTCTGATAAACAAGAATGGCGTGGCAGTTGCCCATGCAATACTACGATTTTCTCCTAGTTCCTCTCCATGTGCACAATCTGTGCTTATATCCTACCATATTCAGGCAGTATGGCCAAAGAGCAGTCAATTCTTCTGTATATATATACTCCACGTAGTACTTATGTAGAGAGATAGATTCACATATTTTATTAGAAAAAAGTAAACATTATAAAGAGATAATATGACACATTTTTTAGACAGAGATACATAATATTTTTTCGGAACACATTTTAAAATAATAGGACACATTTGGCATGACTCCTGGTGTAGCATGGCGGCTGAAAGATCAACAACGGGGAGAGGCAAATGCCACATGCTTGTGGCTGGATCGTCTTACCTGAACAACCAGCCCTGAGATACCTTGAGAGAGGACATTGAGCGGGTAGATATGCTCTAGAATTTGATGTGATGTTCTTGTACTGATTCTCGTCCTTTTCACTTCCTTAGAGATATTCTCTGGTTCTCCCTATACATATTTCCCTCCTCCAGGGACTTCAGAAAGCTTCAAGAGCTCTTGCACTCCATGTAGAACTCTTCGTAGAGGGAGGACATATTTCAAAGAGATAGTTGTATGACATTCTTATTGTAACAAAATACAACTATTTTTAAGTAGAGAGTGTCACATCTTTTTAAGGCAAAGGTACAAAAAAATTCAATTTTAATAATAACACAATTAAAAAAAGAAAAGAGGAAGAGACAGGGATACATAAATAGAATTTTATTATCAACACATTTTAAATTCAAATAAAATAAATATACAAATAAACATTTCGATGCACTAGCGCGCCTTCTGTTATCAAATTACAAAACTATTTTAGACGCGTAATATTCTTTTTTAAAATAAAACAATTTCTACTGCCCTTACTGCAATGGAAAAATTAAAGGGAGGGCCTGGCTCGTCAGTGGTGAACCCTCCCAGCGGTTTCGCCAGTTTAATCTACCATTTAATTAAATTGGCGAAACCGCTGGGAGGGTTCACCACTGATGAGCCAGGCCCTCCCTTTAATTTTTCCATTGCAGTAAGGGCAGTAGAAATTGTTTTATTTTAAAAAAGAATATTACGCGTCTAAAATAGTTTTGTAATTTGACAAATAAACATCTTTGAAGACAGAAGTGTATAAATTAGTTTAAAAAAGAACACATTTCAAAGTGATAGGAAGAGGGATTTATAAAATAGAGAAATAAACTTTTATTGAAAGAAAATTAATACATTAGAGATGGGATACAGAGTGTTCTGAGTGAGGTAGGGCCTATAGGAACAGAATGTCTGCAACATGGCATCTTCAGAAGCAGCAATGGAGCCTGAACTATTGTCAGTTGGGATTGGCGTATGGAAAGGAGGACGCTCTAGACTTCGACATACAGGGCGTGTACTTATGTGAAGGTTTTTGTGACAGTCAGTGGTGAAACAGTGTCTTCTCCAAGCTTCTCTCTTTATAACTCTCTTGTAGACTCCGGTAAAAAGTTCCTAGGGCAGTTGTGTGTGTGTGAGTCCTTATTGATCCTATCCCTTGTGATAAGAGAAGTTGACACATATGTGAAGACAGAGATAGACTAATTTTAATAACAACAAAGCCACATTTAAAAGAGATATCTAGCACGATATAGATGAGAGGAACATTAATTTATTTTTATAGAAACCATTTTCGAAGAGAAAGAAAACATATTGGAATATGTATAATTTATTAGTAAAATAAAGAAAATATTTTTAAAAGGCATTATAAATTTGTAGACCTAGACATATATCAAATAATTTTATTAAGAACACATTTCAAAGAAAAAGGAAGCCACATAAAACTTCTTTTGTAGGAAAAAGCAACATATTTCTGAATGAAATAAGACATATAGGACAAGCCGATGTTTTCAGCATGGCGTCTGAAGGAGAAGCGACGGAAAGATTGAAAGATCATACTGGTGGAGGTCATGTCCATAACAGGCACCGAGTGGTAGAGGAAGGTACTCAGCATTCACTACCGCGGCCTGGAGCCTGACCTGAAGAAACTGTAAGGTGACGCAGTCGTCGAGGGACATGATATCCGCAAGTAGATGTATTTTTGTTTGTCCAGATACCCCTGCTGGAAATGTCCAAGGATGGCCCTGAACCGTTATCGACTACGCTACTCGATCGACGTTGAGCTAAGAATGGCCCAAGACAAAGCGGGGGTACCAGGAGTAGGAAGTACTGTACAGGCAGTAGCGGAGGGTCCAGTAGCTGGACACGCAGACAGAGAGTTTTGATAAGAGAGAGAACTGCCGATCATCGACCAACTTCCAAAACCGGAGAGCCTCTTTGGAATGTACGCTATGTCGAGGGAAGAGGACGGGTCGTTCCAGTAGGTCGGTGAGGGCTTTGACTGACCCATACTCTATATAGCTCGCAGGGACCTCGGGCATGCTCGAACCATCAAAGAAATTCGCATTTTTCAAAATCGT